TTACCATTCAAATGGATCTCAAAATATATCCTAAAAACTATAGAACACTTCTGAAGACAATGAGGAAGACACAAAGAGATGGAAAAAATATTCCATGCTCATGGATTGGCAGAATTAATATTGTTGAAAATGTCATGTTACCCCAGGCAAGTTTTCACTATAATGCAATCCCTATCAAAATACCATGGACTTTCTCAGAAGACTTAGAACAAATTATTTTAATGATTTGTGTGGAATCAGAATAGCCCCCGAACAGCCAGGGGAATTTTAAAAAAGAAAACCATATCTGGGGGCATCACAATGCCATATTTCTAGGTTGTACTACAAAGCTGTGTTTCCATCAAGACAGTGTGGTACTGGCACAAAACAGACATATAGATCAATGGAACAGAACAGAGAACCCAGAGTGACCCTGAACTTTATGTCAACTAATATACGATAAAGGAGGAAAGACATCCACTGGAAGAAAGACAGTCTCTTCAAGAAATGGTGCTGGAAAATTTGGACATCCACATGCAGAAGACATGAAAATGGACACTCTCTTGCACCATACACAAAGATAAACTCAAAATAGATATGAAAGATCTAAATGTGAGACAAGAACCATCAAAAACCTAGAGGAGAACTCAGCGCAACACCCTTTTTGAACTTGGCCACAGTACCCGGAGAAGGACAAACATTGTATGTTCTCATTCATTTGGGAATATGTAATAATAGTGAAAGGGAATATAAGGGAAGGAGAAGAAATGGTGAGAAAACTATCAGAAAAGGGAGACAGAACATAAGACTACTAACTCCTGGGAAAAGAACTAGGGGTGGTGGAGGGGAGGAAGGGCGGGGGTGGGGTGAATGGGTGACGGGCACTGAGGGGTACACTTGACGGGATGACACTGGGTGTTTATTCCTGTAGTGTGGTAAATTGAAACCAATAAAAATTAATTTATAACAAAAAAATATAAAAAAAAAATAAAAAAAAAAATAAAACAAACATCCTGATGTAAAAAAAAAAAAAAAAAAATGGATTACTCATCATCTAGCAGCTGAAGCAGCCTTTTTAAGACCCTTACTCACATGTTACCTCCATAGCATGTCTGTCAGTGACACCACAGACCCCATGTTCATCCCACAGGTCATCACAGAGCACTGTGGGCCAAGCTCTGAGCCAGGCTCTGGGAATCCACAGTTCCCACCTACATTTCCTTTCTTTTTTATACTTTCATTCTTACATTCATTCTTTAACTCACCTAGGGTTTATTTGGGAATATGGTATAAGATGAAGCTCTAAAATGACTTTCCTCCAACTGGGCTGAGTATATGTGAATTGTGATCTATGTTAGAATTTTCAAGAGTGATTCAACAGAATACTGGTCGCATAAGATGCTCAGGAGTCAAAAAGATCTGTAGTGAGAAAGTCTCAGAACTGCTGCATCATTATAACCCTCTCAGAGATTCCCAATGGATACAAGCCTAGTAAAGGCTCTGAGGAGTCGTGCAGGTAAGGAAATCTTTGGGTCTTGTTTCCTAATTTTCTTTGACTGTAGAAGCCACTATTAAGTTATTGCTACAAGCATAATGCAAGGCATCATCCACTTTGGAGTAAAGATGCCAATATTGCAGAACTAAGACTGAGGCCTCTTCTGCCTCAGATGCAGCTTCTACTCACTTCTGAATCTGGGGTTGTGGCCAGAAGAGTGGTATGCACACAACCAGCTCTGTTCCAAGCCCTCAGCACTAGAAGCTCTGCCATGAGCCACAGACCATAGGCCTCAGGGAGGGTGAGGTGGCCTGTCTGTCATTGGACTAAGAGTTCACAGAGGAGCATTAGCTCTGGGCGTTGAAGGATGAGCAGGAGAGTTTGATGGAAATAGATTTCATGAGGGCAGGACCTCCAGCAGTGACAACCTGCCAGGGCAGAGACAGACCCTGCCTCCAGAACCATGGGATAGAAAGAACTTGGTGAACAGAGATGCCCATGGGGAGCCAGGTAAGAATGCAAATGGCTATGACATGGGGCAAAGTGAGTGTGGGCATGCAGCCAGAAGAGGAGCAGGGAAAGGTTATTAGCATTCACTTTCCAAGTTTGGGGTCTGCTTTGACAAGGCAGAGTTTCCTGGGGCCTCATTACAATAGTCAGCACCAACCACACATGTCATCCTCTCCCAAGGCCTCTCTTTCCTCGGGGAGTCTGCAAAGTTCCTTTCCTGTCTGGAACAAGTAACTGGGGAGTTGTGTGGAACGAGAGGAGAATGTGGGGAACTGAATTCCTAGGGATTAATTAGGGCCCTTCAATGAGATCTGTTTCCCCTCTGGAGGCCAATTAGGGCATCTGGAAGCTTGGGAGAGGAAAGGTGAATCTGTGTGTATGTGCTCGAGCAGGCCCATCCATCCTGTGCTGGGTCCCTCTTGGGGGTAGCAGGTCTTAGGGGCACCCGGTCCACTTACAGGAAAAGTAAAAGTGAAAGATAATCACAGAACAGTTTTCATGTTCTAAGAACAGGACTTTAGTGTTACACTGTATGAAGTGCATATCATCATCACAGAAATCACGGTCCCCTGGATAGCATTGTTCTACACTGAGCACTCACTGGGGGCCAGATCCTAGGCTAGGCTTTTGTATTCATGAGCCACCCGCAACGCACAAGTGTTCCAATTTTTTCACATCCCCACCAACACTTGCTTTTTTCCATGTGTATGTGTTTCCTAACAACTCTCATCCTAATTTGTGTGAAGTGGGTTCTCATTTTGGTTTTGATTTGCATTTCCCTAACAACTGGTGATGTTGGGTGTCTTTCTATCCCCGTATTTGCTATTTCTATGTCTTCTTGGATAAATGTCTATTTAACTCACTTGCCCATCTTTGAATTGTGTTAATTTTTTTGTTGTTAAGTTGTAGGAGTTCTTTATATATTCTGAATATTAATCCCTTGTCAGGTATATGCTTTGCAAATATTTTCTCCCATTCTTGGGATTGCCTTTTCCATTTCTTGATAGTGTCTTTTGATGCACAAAAGTTGAAATTATTGTTTTAACTGGGAGAGATACAAAATACTGTGCCTCATGTCAGTTAAGGCTGAAGGTGGGAAACATTATTATTGTTATTGTTGTTGCTGCTATTATTTCATGTCTACTCCTAAAAAATGTTTAGAGGGAGCCACAGGGACACCATGAGTGGGGTGGAACTAGCCTGGGATTCCGCAGCACCATAATCCACTCTCCATATGATTCAGTCATTTTTCCATCTAGAAGGGGAACTAAAGATGAAGAGATGCCATAATGCTCCTCCTGGCACACAGGAAACCACAGCCCTGAACTAAAACTGAAACTGGGGCCAGAAGAAAAGTTGCATCAGACAGAACTTCAGTAGTAACGTGGCAATATTTGTGGAGTTGTTTATTGGGTGGTAGTAGAGTAAAGAGCAAAAAATAAATACATAAATAAGAAAAATTTCCCTTCCAGGTCCTTAGGTTAAGTTCTAATAGCTTATGGAACTCAGAGACAAAGCAACTTATTAAGCTTTTTTAGACCTTGAGGAATGTAGTCCCATAGAGGTCTAGACACCAATTTCAAGGACTAAGGGAAGTGCTGCAGATTGAATACAATTTAGGTAGGGATGCCTGGGTGGCTCAGTGTTTGAGCGTCTGCCTTTGGCTCAGGTCATGATCCTGGGTTCTGGGGACTGAGTCCCACATCAGGCTTCCTGCGGGGAGCCTGCTTCTCCCTCTGCCTATGTCTCTGCCTCTCTCTGTGTGTCTCTCATGAATAAACAAATTTTAAAAACCTTTAAAAAAAAAGAATATGATTTAGGTAGAAGAACATGAGTCCTGTTTCTGGCTCAGGGCCAATAAACAAGGAGACTGAGAGCCTTGATATCATTCTGCTTCAGGAAACCCTTTCTGACCGTAACAGGATCATGAGATGGCTGGACATGGAGTCCAGGATCAAATCATATTCTTTGTCAAATTGCATGACCAGTTGGATTTCCCACTATACTGAGTTTTATGCAATAGGATAATGGTTAAAGTTAGTACCACGAGTGGCAAACATTTGAAGCCTGGAAATTGGAATGAGAATATCTGTGATGAGCCAGAGATGAGGATATCTATCACCTGGGTCCCCCAGACACTTTCACTGTATTGTCTGTATGTCCCTGGCTGGACAAGCCGGACAGGTCTTCAAGAGATAATTTGCCATGGGGGAAGGGAATAAGGAGCCTGGCCTGGGTGCTAAGGCCAGAAAGAGGAATATGTGGGACTATATTTTGAGAAAGAGTAGAAGTCATGGACACAGCATGCTAACCATAACGGGAAACTTCTCTAGTTAGTTCCCCGTTGTTATGGAATGGCTGAGAGATAAAGGACCCGTAATGCTTTGCAATGCCCATGCAGATTTGGGAAGGAACACCCCTTGCCTAAGCAGAAGCTAGAGGAAGGGCATGCTCTACTTTTATGACAGGAGTGTCTAGATACCAGAGGTAAATTTCCCATGACTAGTGTTAAAATATTTGTACTGGCAGTGAATTTGCAGGCAACCAGGACTGAAAGGGTAGCAGTTTCAGATTCTTTCATTGAAGGGGATTTCTGAGTTGCTACCACAGCAGAAAAGGACAAGGATGATTCACATTATCTGTTGTCAATCCTGGGAACATCTGAAAATATGGGAAGAAGAAAAACAAAGGAAAGACTGAAGTTCTTGCAGGTCTCTGAGATTCAAACTTGTTTGAACTAATGGAAATGTGACCACAATTATCTACACAGTCTTGTGAGATTTGGGTTTCACAACTTAAAAACCGAATAGAAAAATCCTACATATTTTATTTGTGAATTAAGGAAAGAAAAATCATTATTTTATTACAATGGAGGAGGAACACCTAGGACTGTATTTTGAGAATTATTGTTCTATTCGGCTATCTCAATGGTCTACTTTCCCCTCCAATGTTATCAGCATTTGTGTGTAGATCAAGTTACACCTATGAATCAGGGTTCCCCAGCGTTCCTTGGGTTTCAGAGACATGCCATTCTGGTGATGGCTGCTTTGACATCCTTGTTCCTCAGCGTGTAGATGAGAGGGTTGAGGACAGGTGTGAGAATAGCATATACCACATTGCCCATGATGTGGAAGTCAAGGGGCAGGTCAGCCCTGTAGGCCACATAGGCTATGGCAATGGATGAGTAGTATGTGCCAACCACCAGGAGGTGGGAGCTACAGGTGGAGAAGGCTTTTGAACGTCCTTCTCGGGAGCTGATGCGAAGCACCGAGGCCAGGATGTGGGCATAGGAGAAAAGTACCAGGAGAAGGGGCAGGAAGGATACCACCATGGCAATGCAGAAGCCCATGAGGGTCTGGGGCATGGTGTCAGAGCAGGAGGCCTGGACCACGGCCAAGTGGTCACAGAAGCAGTGATAGATGTGAGCAGTGCTGTCAAAAGCCAAGTGGGAAGTCTGCACCACTGCTGGGATGGGCAGGAGGAGGGCAGTGAGCCAGGCACAGGCTGCCAGTGTAGCATTGGTCTGTGGGGTCATGAGGACAGGGTAGTGCAGTGGGCGGCAGATAGCCACATAGCGGTCATAGGCCATGACCACTAGGATGAAGGCTTCAGAGCAGGAGAAGCTGTGGAAGAGGTACATCTGCAGGAAGCAGGCAGGGAAGCTGAGGAAGCGGTCCCCAAGTAAGAGGAGGGACAGCATCTTGGGGACGGTGGTTGTGGTGAAAAGGATGTCCAGGGCTGAGAGATTAATCAGGAAGAAGTACATGGGCTTGTGGAGGCTGGGCTCTGCCACCACAGCCAGTAGGATCAGGACATTTCCCAGCAGGATGAGCAGGTAAAGGAAGAGAAAGACAAAGAAGATAGGAAGAAAGAGGGATTTGGGCAGAGAAGGAATGCCCACCAGGTAGAAGATGGGTGAGGAGTCCTCTGATCCATTACAGGCTATAGTTTCCATGGAGGGTTAATCTGGATGCCCAGGAAGTAAGTAGTAGAAACATCTGGGAACCAAGCACATCTGAAAATGAGAACAATCAGTGATTCTAGAATGATAATTATGTGATGGTCACTGTATGATTAAGGTAGCTCTCTTTTCTTTTATAATGAAGTATGGAAAAATATCTATAATATACAACCATGTCTTATATGCTGGGTATATAGTAGACAGTTGAACAAGACAGAGATGGTCTCTAACTTCTTGGAGCTGATTCCAATGGTAGAAAGAGATATTAAGCAATAAATCACATAATTATTTAATTAGTTGTGTTAAGTGTTATGGAAGAACTTCCGTTGGTCCTCTTTCCTGTGTTCCATATAATCCTTTCTGGGGATATCAGATCTCTTAACCTATGCACCTAAGCTCTTATCTCTTTTAGCATTTGCTTTAAGTTTTTAAAAAAGTGACATCTTTGTCACCAAGTTGCTAGGGAGGGCTGATTTCCTCCAAGGTGTATGGTAACATGCTATCTTCCAACCATAATTATTAACCAGGGAATGGCTCCTTTCTCCCTTGTCTACTTGGTGCAGTGGTTCTGCCTGTCTCCATCTAAGCTGAGTACTCCATATCCCATCTCTGAGGGTGGGGCTCTTTGTTAGGTTACAGTGAGGGGAGTGACCCTGAAAATGTGCTTGATGGGAAGAATCATTCCTGATTGGAGTCAGAACTGACAGTAGATTCTCCCACAATTGGCAGCAACAAAGAATCCAAGACAGTATCTATGTGACTCCATTGGACTTACCTTCCTACTGGCTGCCAAAGCTCAGCAGGTGCTCCTGTGTAGCCATTGCATGCCCCCCACCCAGCAGGCCACCCTGGCACCTGGGCAGAAGTTGTCTTGTGACCTGGGAGGCATTGTCCACAGAGAGAAACTGGCTTGCAGTGGCTGCTCAAAGGTGAAAGAGCCCCTCCCAGAGGAATCAGAATGGATTCTGGATTTCCAATGTTCAGATCTGTGGGGTTTGAGCTGAGGGAAATACTGATTCACCCTCCATTTTGGACCTTGAGAAATCCATGTTGATATTGGTATTCCTGTCTCATTGATCCTGGTGACTCCATGAGTCATGTCCCCATGATTTTCCTGGAGTCTCCTCTAATTTCTCTCTCTTCTCACAACATTCCTATGTTTAATACCAACAATGTAAAAACTGGAAAAAAGCATTTTTATTTTCATGTCCAACAACTTTCTCCCCAAAGGCCAGAGAGTGAGCAGAGGAAGGGCAGGGGCTTGGGGCACCTGAGTGGTTCAGTCAGTTAAGTGTCTGTCTCATGGTTTCGGCTCAGGTGGTGATCTCAGGGTCATGGGACTGAGCTCCAGGTTGGGTTCTGTGCTCAGAAAGGAGTCTGCTTGAGATTCTCTCCCTTTTCCCCTTCCCACACTCTCTCTCAAATAAATAAATAAATCTCAAGAAGAGAAAAGAAGGAAGGAAGGAAGGAAGGAAGGAAGGAAGGAAGGAAGGAAGGAAGGAAGGAAGGGCGGGCAAAGGCTTTCCCAGGTGCCACAGGCAAGTTGCAGATCCCCGGCCAGAGCTTAGGTCTTTGTTCCCCAAAACAGAATTATTTCTTCTTCTTCTTCTATTTTATAAGTTTATTTACTTATTTTAAAGGTTTTATTTATTTATTCATGAGAGACACAGAGAGAAGCAGAGACATAGGCAGAGGGAGAAGCAGGCTCCTCCCAGGGAGCCCGATGTGGACTTGATCCCAGACCGGGATCACGCCCTGAGCCGAAGGAAGACGCTCAACCACTAAGCCACCCAGGTGTCCCTATTTCTTCTATGCCGTATTTCCTGAAAGGTCCAGAAGTTCAAGTTTCCAGGGTAGAAATTTGAAGAGACAATACTAAGACCTAGGTTTTCTATGTCCATTTCTGCTTTTTTCCCTATTGACAATATCAGACAAATCTGTATTTCATATTTTTATCTGAGTCTCTATATGATGAGTGCTGAAACAAGATGTGGTATCCGCCAATCCAAAAGTTCCTTTGAAATGTTCCAGAAGTCAGACCCAAGGATCTAGCAAAAGAGTGAAAGTTCTTTGTCCCAAACTGAAAGGGTTATCCTTTAATATCCAAATCCCATCATAAGATGTTGGGTCACTGGGATTTTCTCATACCTGAAAGAATGCAAGCTGCACTGCCATGGGAATTTTTGCCATCAGGGAGGCAGTTGTGGCTGACAGTCCTGGGTGACGCACAGTAGGGCATCTGGGAGGCAGAAACACAGAGGGTCAGGGCCAGAGGAGTCCTAAGGGGCCATCAAGTCCAACTGTTTTCTCTTCCCTCCTCTGCTCCACTACATTGCAGATGGAAGTACAGATGCTACAACCTGGGTGGACAGGTGGCACATGGCTTCTCGCTGCCAGGCGGCACTGGGCTATCCGACAGGCACACTAACATGTGCTGGCTCACCAGCGAAGCAGAGCACCAAAATAATTTCTGAAAGATTTTCGCATTTGATATCTCAAAGCATCGCTCAACTGGCCCATCCTAGGAAATAGCAAGTTTGGCTGGAACTTCTTACACTTAACATACAGGTTAAGGTCCTTGTTTTACTTGAAATTACCTAGTACATGTGAACAGTGCCGTCCTGTGCTTCAGGCCCAAAGGGCGCTGTCTCCCAGGACACAGAACTTGCCACCATACCTGGCGGGGGTCCTCCCTGTCTGGATTGTCCACCAGTCAGTTACACAGGTGGACAGAAAAATCAGTCACTGGAATGTACAAGCGGATGCTGTAGTTCACATATATCACCCCCTCTCATCATTTACGCCTGCCAGGGAATGGTTATGCCCTTCAACCAGCAAGAATGAGGGTCCCTCCAAGGCTACAGCTGGTGAGGGTGAGAGCGTGTTCTGGAGCCAGCCTGCCGCAAAGGCCTGAGCCCCACCTGGCCACCAAGAGTGCTGGCTCCTGGACCAGCTATGCCACTCACCTGCTATGACTCTGGGTCCCTGAACCTTGGTTTTCTCATCTGGGCAGTAAGAGCTTGGGAGGAAAAGACCTCTGGGGGGTTTCCAACTCAAGGAGCTCTTTTCTGGGGGTCCCCCTCTGTGGTTGGCAGATCGGATATCACAGTGGTCCATGCCCTAAAGGGAGAGGGTGAGGACTATCCCACCTAGTGAGCACCTGTTGCCAGCCGGGTCCTTTCCCTTCATCTTGTCATGTGGACCTTAGTGGTCAAGTGTGTGGACTTGTGAGTCAGAAAGGACCTGATTCCAATCCCAGCTGCTACCTCCAGCAGCGTGGCCTTGGGCAAGTCACTTCCCCCTCCTGAAGTTCATTTCCCTCATCTGTGACCTCCTGGGTTGTTGTGATCCATATGGAGCAAATGCTTGGACAATGTTTACCCAACAGCCTGGAACACACAGGGCTCAGAGCTTGCTAGTGTGTCCACTGGTGATTGCTGTCATCAGTCTAGCTTTCCTGGGGGAAGCCTTGGCCGATATGATTTGAATCCCACCCAGAGGTGCACCTTGTCCAGATCTGCCAGGATAGGTGGTCCAAGGTCCCAAGCCAGGGTATGCACAGCCAACCTGGGTCTTGGTTGCCTACATCTTGTGTATTCAATCTGTTTTTCTGATCCCTGGTTCTGGTTTATAGATCCTGGCCTCCCTGCCCTGCATTCTCTGCCTGTCTTGGAGCACTTTATCCCTAGCCCTACTCACCTGTTAAAACCTGTTCACAGTGGTGTCTCCTGTGGTATCTCTAGGCAAGGCCTTTTGGTGCTGAGCCATGACCCATTAAACCCTTAGCCCTCTCTTTTCAAGCAGGTCTCCTGAGGAACTTTCCTTCAAGATGTTACTCCTGTGGGAATTGCACCCACCATCCCTCAGAGATCAACTACATGGCATCCCTTAGAACATATTTGGAGGAGGGGAGGATTTGTCCCTAGACATTGCTGATAATGAGAAGAGCATCATTAACAGCCCTCAAGGGCTCAGCACTTTATGCCAATGGTGTAGACTTTATTTTAATTAGAAGTCTGGCTGAAATCCATGGATGGATAATCTTGTCTACCTGATTTTGCCTGTTGGAACTGTCCGCTCAGTTGAATTCTCTTTTGCCATTTTCTGTTCATTAATTTATTCAACAATATTTACTGAACTCCTAATCTGTCCTGGGCACTGTTATTTGGTGTCTTGAATGCAGAATTAGCTGCAACTAAAACTCAAAGGCACTTATCAAGACTGGGTCTTGAGACATGTGATTTTGGTAATGGCTGCTTTAACATCCTTGTTTCTCAGAGTGTAAATGAGAGGGTTGAGAATTGGTGTGAGAATAGCATATGCTACATTGCCCATGATGTGGAAGTCAAGGGGCAGGTCAGCCCTGTAGGCCACATAGGCTACGGCAATAGATGAGTAGTATGTGCCAACCACCAGGAGGTGGGAGCTACAGGTGGAGAAGGCTTTTGAACGTCCTTCTCGGGAGCTGATGCGAAGTACCGAGGCCAGGATGTGGGCATAGGAGAGAAGCACCAGGAGAAGGGGCAGGAAGGATACCACCATGGCAATGCAGAAGCCCATGAGGGTCTGGGGCATGGTGTCAGAGCAGGAGGCCTGGACCAGAGCCAAGTGATCACAGAAACAATGGTAGATGCGAGCAATGTTGTTATATGCCATCTGGGAGGTCTTGACCACTGCTGGAATGGGCAAGAGGAGGGCAATGAGCCAGGCACAGGCTGCCAGTGCAGCATTGGTCTGTGGGGTCATGTGGACAGGGTAGTGTAGTGGGCGGCAGATAGCCACATAGCGGTCATAGGCCATGACCACCAGGATGAAGGCTTCTGAACATGTGAAGCTTTGGAAGAGGTACATTTGCAATAAGCAGGCAGGGAAGCTGAGGAAGTGGTCCCCAAGCAGGAACAGGGACAGCATCTTGGGGACGGTGGTTGTGGTGAAGAGAATGTCCAGAGTAGAGAGGTTGATCAGAAAGAAGTACATGGGCTTGTGGAGGCTGG